AATATTTCCGTATTGTTGCTAATTTGGTTGTTAAAATATTGATCACAGGATCTTTGACCTTAAGTCTAACACACCTATGGCTTTCAGTTAGCATGTGCATGTTAAAGGTCATTGAGATAACAGTTTGTTTCTTGGTGATTGCATAACTTGATCAGTAGAGAAGCCTTGAAGTCTGTTCCAGGTATATGTATTAAGCCATCTGAGATAGATGCTGGAGAGAAAAAACACAGCATACAGTTTAGAAATAAAACATTATGGTGCAGAATAATTTCATCAAAGGATCACCTTTTCAACTCAGAACAGTGGCTTTTCTAGTACTTACAGAATCATACATTTTACGGGGACCCGGGGGGGGGGGGGGTGTCTGACTGAACCTTACGCCAGCATAAGTCCCAGATACGCCTGTGTAAGTGGCACTTATGATGGTGCAGGCCCCTAGCGTCGTGCCATTGCTCGTGGGCAGTAGCAGTGGGCCATGGCAGCCAGCCATTGCTGCAACTGAGATGTAGACCCATGCACCAGTGTGATTGTGGGTGGTTCTGGGGACGTGGCCAGAGTTAGTCAGCTCCCTGTGCCCTTTTGACCAGGGAATGCCCCCTGTCAGAGGCGGAAAGTTACACCAACCAAAAACATGGTGTAGCCCATAGGCACCATGGATCTTGAAAAACAAGGTGTCCCCTCCACTGTGGCGCCACCCATTAGGCTTGGAGGAGCTCAGAATGCCAACTACAGGCTCATCCAATCACTCCCCTCCCCACAGCGGCCAAGCCCCCTCCTCAGTACCCAATCATGCCCCCCCACACACAAATACTTCCAGCAGGACAATGCACAACTCAGTAGTTAGGGCATGTAGCACGGGACTCTGTCTCGGAGCTCCCTGCCATGCAGATTTAGAGCAAGTAGTGAGGCACTTTGGTGGTGGCATAAGCACAGAAGAAGAAGAAGAAGAAGAGGAAGAAGAGGAAGAGGAGATTGGATTTATACCCTGCCCTTCACTACCCAAAGGTGTCTCAGAGCGGCTTACAAACTCCTTTCCCTTCCCCTCCCCACAACAGACACCCTGTGAGGTAGGTGGGGCTGAGAGAGCTCTTGACAGAAACTGCTCTTTTTCAAGAACAGCTCTTATCAGCACTATGGCTTGCCCAAGGTCATCCAGCCAGGTGCAAGTGAAGGAATGGGGAATCAAACCCAGTTCTTCCAGATTAGAGTCCGTGCACTTAACTACTACACCAAACTGGCTCTCAGGGCACTTAGCACCACAGGGTGAGCACTTTGCACTGACATCCAGGGAGGAGAGTAAAGTCTGTACTCTGTGGCTGACCTCTCCCATTTCAGACCCCTAACAAGTACTCCACCTTCAGAGGCTCGACCCACAGAGACAACCGTGCACCAACAGGTAAGCACAGGCAAGGACTTCAACCCTGAACTCCCACTCCCCTCAGTAGGGCCTGGGTGCCATGACAGCATCTCCTGCACTCAAGGCCTGTACTGAGTGCGTGCGTGGGGCAGCAGGAGCCACAGCTCCCAGCACCATGGCCTGATATGCCATGGGAAAAGTTTCCTGGAAAGTTGACCTGGAGATATGGGGGGTGGGGGCATGCTCTGTCAGTTGCCTAGTTCCCACCCTCAGCAGACCACAGGCCATATGGAGGGGCTGCAGCTGCTCTGCTGCATGTGGCAATCCAGCTTGGTAACTGTCCTTTAACTCATTCCCTTGCAGAATTGGAGACTTGAGCTGCAACTGCCGTGGCAGATGGATTGCGAGCAAAGCAGGAGGACTGCACCACTGGACAGGTGAGTGTGAGTTGACTGGTTCCATCATGCAGCTCAGGGGGTGGGTGTGATGAGCCCTTCCCCCCTCCGAGCTGTATATGCAGACCTTGTCAGGACAAGACATCCATGGCTGAGGCTGGCATGGAATTCGCAGATGGTTGCCATGGCTTGTTTTTCTGTTGTGCAGGTGGAGATTCAACAGAAAGACTTGTGGGCATGGCAAGTCCCCACCACCACCATGCACTCTGCTCAGTCCACTGTTCCAGCCCTCCTCGTGGAATGGAGCATCCTGCCCGGGAAGCCCTTCCCAGTTCCACCTGCAATGTCATCCCACTTCTGCACATGCCATGCCAGGGTCCCTCAGTTTCTAGGGTGGCAGTGGATGGAGTCCTCACCCCTGCCATGGATTCCAGTGCAATAAAGTCTCTGTCGTTCCACATGCTGTCTGTGGCTTGGTTTATGCTTCATGACAGGAGTTTGGTGTAGTGCAGGGGTGTCAAGCATGCGGCCCGGGGGCCGGATTAGGCCCCCAGAGGACTTCCATCAGGCCCGCAGTGAAACTGGCCATCTCCTGCTTCCAGTTCTGCTGCTGCTGCATCATAGCTTGCTTCGCCAGACTCTCTTAATCACTCAGCCATTTCATGTTTTAACCTGGGTCCTAGACTCAGAACTCTGAGCATGAGATTTTTGTCATGAATGTCAAAATCAAAAGTAGGTTTGCAGCTTACAGAGCTAATGTTTTAAGCGTGTTTTTATTTTAAGTAAAAAAAATCTTTGTGTTTGTGTCCTTTATAAAGTTTATATCTCCGCTACCTGGCATTACATTTTATGACACACACGGCCTGGCCCAACAAGGTCTCATTTATGTCAGATCCGGCCCTCATAACAAATGAGTTCGACACCCCTGGTGGACTCTAATCTGGAGAATTGGGTTTGATTCTCCACTCCTCCACATGCAGCCAGCTGGGTGACCTTGGGTCAGTCACAGTTCTCTTGGAGCTCTCTCTGCCCCACCTACCTCACAGGGTGTCTTTTGTGGTTAGAGGAAGGGAAGGAGATTGTAAGCTGCTCTGAGACTCCAAGTGAAGGCTGGGGTATACATCTAACTGTTCTGCTGCTGCTGCTTCTCTGCCCCACTCCCTCGCTACCCCATCTGCCACTCCCCCTGCAGGGTTCCTGAAGACATGTCTCAGAGGAAGGGCTCTCGGCTGCTGTGGGTGGCTGGGGAGGGTTGTGCAGGTCCCACTGGTCTTAGTCACCCTCTATACATAGCAGGGAGCCAGCCGCACAGACAGGTTCCCTCGCTCACCTCGCAGGCTGCTGTGTGAGGGGCCAGAGGATGAGCCAGCTTCTCGTGGTGGTTATAGCATGAGCCTAACCTGGGAGACCCAGATGGGCGGCCTTGGGCCAGATGCACACCCTCAGCCTGACCAACCTCATGGGGTTGTTGTGAGCATACAACAGAGAGGGGAATGCTATAAGCCATGGGGGTGCTAATAAGGTGAGTGAATGGATGAGACTCCTGTATGTCTGCTCCAGGAAGGGGGTCCTATGGCACTCAGGGTGGGGGGAGAGGCATTTGTGCCAGTAGTGTTGAGGGGGCAGGGGATCATGGGAGTCACAAATGACAGCAACTGTGTGCCTGTCTTTGGCGAGGGTCTCTATAAGGGGGATGGGGCAGGAGAATGGGGCTCTCCCAAGCTGCCCTTCCCCACCTCCTAGCTGTGATGTGCAAAGGCATCTGCCCCCGTGACTGCCACTCCCATAGACCCAAAGTGCCCCACTCCTCATGCCACCCATGCCTCAACACTATGTACCCTGTGGTCGAATCGGCATGGATGCAGTCTCGTAAGCAGCCAGTTACACTTTCCCCCTCCGCTTAGTTGCAGCATAACTTGCCCCTTAGGATATGGACTAGTGCTGCCAAGGTTATACGGTGGTCAGCTGCTGCAGTGCAGGCACAACTTAGACTTGTTCTGCCCAAAGCTTAAATTTCTTTGTGGATTTGCCCAGCCAGTTGGTGTGGAAGTGATATCCATTCCTTGATTGACAGGGTTTAGCCAATTAGCTAAATTGATCATACACACTAGAGGTCCCCAACCTTTTTCACCCAGCAGGCACCCTTTGGAATTTTGGGAGGGGATGGTGGTACCTCAAAATGACTGTTGCAGGAGGCAGAGCCAAACCCAAAACGGCTGCCAGAAGAGGTAGAGCCAAATACAATAACTTTCTCCTTGCTTTGCAAAAAGAATTTCAGAAGAGGCATAAAGAAACAGTGAAAAGCCAGTGGTGAAGAAGGGAGACTAAGGGGGAATAAAAAGGAAACCCAGGAGGAGGAATGGATCCATAAGCCTAAATCCTTACTAGGTTCTATCTGATCCGTCAGTGGCCACTACAGCTACAGCATCTGTGGACACCTCTTTATTTGGATGTAGCCAATAACAAACCCTGCCTTACAAAGGCCCTGCCCAATTTCTGAAGAGTACCAGGGGAAATATTGGCAGATACCACATTGGGGAATCCTAATACACACTTTAAAATACCACAGTTTGTTTTCTGTAGGGCTGCCATGAAAGACTGTTTGGAAGCTTCAGTTTGTAGTGCATTTGATTAGTTTCTAGGATCATGTCTGTGATGCTGAAAAATCTGCATTGGGTGCACTTTAGCTAGCAGGCACCATTTCTCAGAGCTGGTTATCACATTTATACTGTAAATCTTTGGGAACCTGGATACTTAAAAGGCTGCTTGCTCATCACATTAGATTATCTTTCTGTATGCCCCAGCTCCTAGATGGGTGGTTACCAGAGAAGGCCTTTTAATGGCAGCTTTTCAGTGGAATTGCCTTCTCTTGTGCATCCATCACTGGATCTGATATTCCCCTCTAAACATGACTAATGCAATGGTTTTTGCATTGCTGTTGTATCTAGTTTTTCTCCAACTCTCTGTAGATACATCCTAGTTTTAGTTGAGTCACTGGCTTTACTGCTGTTTTAATCAGTTACGTTTTAATTGATTTATTGCTGATTTGCACTATCGTTTTATGGCTGAATTTTGTCTGTTAACCATCCCGGAAACCTGATGGCTGAAGGAATGTAGACGCCCCTTATGTTCTAGTATTACAACCACAGATTACCTTCACATTAGATACATTAAACCATTTCTAGTTAGTTTTCAGTCAACAGAAAGCCAAAAAACAGTTCATAACCAAGATTTTATTGGTTGTTCAATAAACCACACAGAAAATTTGTACAGATTTCCCCCCCAATAATTTGAATGTAAACCGCATAGTTGTCATCCAACACGCTATGACTTTTGATAAATCGTTCTTTCAAAATAGAAAAGTACCAGTGTTTCAAATACTTTCTGTGAAGTTACAGCTGTTTAACTAGAAGTGCTTCCTACTGTTGAACAACACACACACTACACACCCAGATTTCTAATCTTTCACAACACAGTTACAAAGCTGTTGAAAAAATAAACTACCACTGCCAAAAATAACTGTCACAGATAAAACAAATCTGAAACGGAGATGCAACATCAGGGAACAGTTTTTAATGAGGAAGCAATTAATTTTGTGACATATCGAGGATAAGTGTTAAACATGAAAACGTTTTCCTACTCATCAGAATGCCAGAAGTCTTATTCTGTGCACACTTGTTAGCAGATTATAACAATCATCCCTCAAATCTACAGCAAAGGTGTGCAATTTATTTGCCTCTGGAGAACATATCGGTATATACTGAACTTTTATATATATTCAAATACAGCTGAATTCATCATTATAACCAGATTCCTGCATAAAAATAATGTTGAAGGGCCACATTTAAATTGTAAGTTGCCCATCCTGGCTTGTGGAATGTTAAGTAATCACAACTTAACCCCCCCCCCCTTAATTTAGTATTCCATTAAAATACCGGTTGTACAGACAGTAGACAACCACTACATGATTTTTACCTTTTAAGCAAAAGCATTTACACTCAGTTACAATAAGTGGGATATGGGGGGATCCTCTCATGTTTAAAACTGTGTTTTCTAAAACCTCTAAAAAACTTGCATTTACAAAATAGTTGATAAAAATATTCCTCTGAATTGTACAAGATGGTGGTACAAGAACCACTGCTAAACACTTTGTACCAGATGCTACTCAGATTTTGCTTCTTTCTCTCCTGCTGCTTCAGATACTGGGACCTGAAGAAGGGAAAAATACACATAGGTTTTATAGTTCAGAACAAATAACTGCCAATATATTTTAGCTTAAAAGCATGCAAAATCTTTTAGCTCCTTTTAATCAGCTTTGAAGGGAAAGGGCTAACAGTGGCATTTACTAAAATCTACTTTAAGTGCCCTTGTATTGCTTTTTGAATGGTAATTTGAGCATCTAGTGCCAATGCTGACTACTACTCCTTCCTCTCCTTTCTGCCTCATCAATCCCTAGCAGCACAGGGCCTGTAACTTTAGAACTGTGTGGCGTTCATAAATAACAAAACCTTGGGCACAATTCTTACTTCAAAATAAAAACTTGTTAGTCTTTGAGGTGCCACAAGACTCTTTATTTCTGCAGCAGACAAATATGGCTACCTCTCAGGTATTGAAGCTTTTTTAGTAGGTCATACTCTCATTTAACTTGGGGAAATTACAGAAGCAAGCCTGTAAAATTTTACCTCGTCACTTTTTGCTTCTCCATTTTCTGTAGGCAAGTGATCCTTCACTTCATCTTTGTTAATCTCTGCAGCTTGCTTCCCCTTTGGTCCCCTTTTCCCTTTAATTTCGGCTTTCTTTTCTTCAGATTTATCCTGTAACAAATTAAAACAAATTATTAGCATTTGTTCTCTACAATCACAGTTTTAAATCATTAATCTAACAGACTGGAAATAAAAATATTTATATACAGCCTAGACCATACAAGATCATACGGACCATTTACCAGTGAGATGCCTTTGCAAGGTAAGAACATAAGAGAAGCCATGTTGGATCAGTCCAACACTCTGTGTCACACTGTGACCAAAACCAAAGTGCTATCAGGAGGTCCATCAGCAGGTCAGAACTCCAGAAGCCCTTCCACTGTTGCCCCCAAACACCAAGATTACAGAGCATCACTGCCCCAAACAGTGTTCCATCTATACCTTGTGGCTAACAGTCACTCGTGGATCTCTGCTCCAGATGTTTATCTAATCCCCTATTGAAGCTGTCTAGGCTTGTAGTCACCACTACTTCCTGCAGCAGTGAATTCCACATGTTAATTACTCTTTTATCTGTTCTAAGCCTACTGCTCTTTAATTGAGTGCCCACGAGTTCTTGTACTGTAAGAAAGGGAGAAAAGTACTTCGTTCCCTCTATCCCATGCATAATTTTGTAAACCGTCATGTCACCACGCAATCGTCATTTCTCCATACTAAAGAGCCCTAACCTCTTTAACCTTTCCTCTTTCCCCATGACTGCTGAATTTACTTGGGGAGCCTTTGGTTTTTAATTTTTTTAGGCCCCCGGAGGGGATTTTTTATTGCATTTTTTAATAGACTACAAACTACAACGAAAAATTGGGAAGGGGTAACTACATCTAGAGAGAAACCACAACTAACTAAAACCCCAAGTATAGGAGATCATAACAACAGCTTATATAAATGTTAATCTTAAATTGCTAGTATTACTTTGAACATAGTCGGCTGTGCTAATTTATCTTTTTGTCCAATGTTTTATCCATTTAAGAGAACCCCCAGAGCATCCCACAATAAAACTAAAGTTTAAAGGCACAATTCAGAGTCCTTCAGCCTTCATTTTGTCTTATCTTTTCTAATCCTCAATTTATATGTACGCTTGGGGGCAGCCACCCCCTTATCAGAAAGAGAGTCCTCGTCGGAAGACCCCGAGTCCAATTCGCCACTGGATTTGCTGTCATCTTCTTCCTTCTCGACCTCGGCTGGCTCTGTCAGCTGCACTCTCAGGAACTCATGTGCTTTGGAAACAGAGACAATCTTTTTTTTTAATCTTGTAGTTTGAAAATGACTCCTTCTGGAATTAACCACCTGTAGACAATACTGTTTGTTTGAAGAAAAAGGATTAAACCTTTATATTTCTTTCTCTTTTATCTTATTTCAAATGGAATGTCTTTTAGAATCCTGATGGTGTTGTCCCTGATTTTCAAGGGTGTTCCTGTAGTTGCTTTCAGGATAGAATCTCTCACATGTCGCTTTGAGAATCTAGCCACTATTTCCCCAGGCAGATTATTCTTTTTGATGTACACAGAATAGGACCTATAGACCACATCCATTTTGCTTGCAAAATACTCCGCTTTCAAATCTGTAACTGGGGCCAATGCTTCACTCAGGAGTTGCTTTAGATTCTCACCTTTTAATTCTGGGACCCCTTGAAGCCGTAGGACCAAATTTGCTTTTTCCATTTGCAACTGTAAAGGTTGTGATCCTTCCGAGGCGTGTTTGTTTTCCAGCTTTTGCACCTTTTTCTTGACTTTTTTGGCATTGGCGTCCATTTCTTTCACCTTCCCAGCCGTTTGCTCCGTTATTTTTAAAGTCTCAGTCAGTTGGAACTGCTGAGTTGCAAGATTCTGGTTTAGATTCATCAGCTGTTGTTCTATGTTAGTCATCTGGTCCAACAGAGGGCGCAAGGACTCTGCCAACATTTTGGTGAGCTCGGTGGTCTCTTCCGGTTGAGGGCTCAAGATTCCAGATGGCTTCACTTTTACTGGTTTGTCTTTCTCTGCCCTTTTCCCCACCATCTTTATGGATTGTTTACTTTTATGAAAACTTGCTAAAGTCTCTGAAATACGCCCACATGCTTATCCACGCTCTGGTAAGTCTCTCAAAACAGATTTCAACGCTTTTTCTTCTGCTCCCCCCTTAGTATTGTGTTGTTTAATTCATGTGTATGGGAGGGGCCCCTCCCCCGCTCGCTTTTTTCGCCGTTCCCTGGGGGTCGCTTTCTTTTTAAATTATCGTTTCGCTTTAACCTGACTCACAGTTCATTGTTGGTCATACGACCTTGCTCGGCATACGTTCAAAATGCTCGATCTCCAACGCTTGTCCCGGTCAGCAGCTCTAGATCCATACGGACACTCAGCGGCAGGACCATCAGGGCGGAGGAGCGCCTCAATTCCCCAGCATCGCGATGGCGAAGAGGCCACCCCTCAAAAGCCCCATGGCTAGGAGCCTTTTGCCAAGGCTCGGGGGGGGAGCGACCCGTCGCCCCACTCCTTTCCGCTGGTGCGCAGATAACATCCCTGGGAGGTCCGGGAGATGCGTCCGTCAGCGTGTCGCTATAAACCGGAAGCTCTTGGGGGGAGCCTTTGATGAGCAACTTTATCAAAAACTTTCTGGAAGTCTAGGTAAACAACACCTACATGTCCATGTTTGTTTACCCCCTCAAAAACGATAAGGTTAGTGAGACAAGACCTTACATTACAGAATCTATGCCAATTCTTCCTCAATAGCTCTTGTTCATCATTGTGCCTACTACTTCTATCTGTAACAGATTCCACCACTCACTTACCCGGTATCAACGTTAGTCTGACCGGCCTGTAATCTGTCAGATCTCCTCTGGAACCTTTTTTTAATGATCTCAAGACTAGTATGGTCATTTACCTGTGATGGCAAAAAGCCCTTAGATACCTATCTTCTGTAAATGTTGTCATCACCACAACTTACTGTAATGAATTCTCCAAAATGATTATCAAAGAACCTTGCCTGGATCAGACCAGTAGTCCATCTAGTCCAGCATCCTGTTTCACACAGCAGCCAAACAAACAGGGCATAGGAACCAAGGCTTTCTCCTGATGCTATCTCCTAGCACTGGGATTCAGAGGTTTGCTGCCTCTGTATATGATGGTTCCATTAAGTATTGTCTGAAGAATTTTTGCCTGTCCTGAGCATAGTGACAGTTTCTTTGGAAGACTAAGAGTTCCAGAGTTATGGAAGAACAAAACTACCTAAGTCATTTGCTGCATCTCATAATTGTATAACCCTGTCATTTTCCTTCTACCCAGACACCTTGTCCCTCTGAAATAGAAAGCTTCACATGCTTTAGCCTTTTCATGTAGAGAAATCCCCAAAGTTTGCAAAAAAACAAACAAACCTGGCCCTCCCCCAAATGTGTGTGTGTGTGTGGGGGGGGGAATCGAATCTCCTTCAAGCCGTTTCACAAATTAGGAGCCACCGCAGAATAAGCATGAATGGGCAGTTGCTGATCTTACCAGTTTGCTGAGTGGCACCCTCAGAATGGCAAGGGATAGCAGAGTCCAGCAAGTATGTGGATCTAAGGCCATTAAGGGCTTTGTAGGTGATAACCTGAACCTTGAATTGAACCTGGTAACTGGTAATCAATGGAGTGACTACAGAATGGGTGTGTAACATGCATGTTCCACCCAATGTTCCCTCTAAGCTGTGGAGTCTTGTGAGCAAAAATTCTACTTTGTGAGCTACTGGCATTAAAGCGGTGAGCGAGCGATTTGGCTACTGCATAAATCAGTTTGCTCTGCAGCCGTCCTTTCCTGAGCTGAGACAAAAACGTGTGAGCCGGAGGCTAAAAAACTGTGAGCTAGCTCACACTAACTCAGCTTAGAGGGAACACTGGTTCCACCTAATGCTCAACAGTAACTGGGCTGCAGCATTCTGCACCACCTGAAGTTTCCAAGTTGACTTTAAAGGCAGACTCATGCACATGAAAAGGCTTATACCTTGAATAAAACTTTGTTGGTCTTAAAGGTACCACTGGACTCAAACTTTGTTCTCATGGAGAGTACATTACAGTAGTCTAGCCTTGATGTAACCATAGCATGGATCCACATGACCACCTTCTGAGCTCAGTGAAGCTGGAAGAATGCATTTTTCATAGCACCATTAACTTGCTTCTCCAGCAATGATACTGGACCCAGTATAACCCCTAGACTTTTTAGTCAGCCAGTGTGGCTGGAACCCATCAAAAATGGGAAGCATAATGTCTTTCAAAACCTCAGCCTTCTCAACCAACACTACCTCCATCTTGTCAGGATCGAGTTTCAACTTGTTCATCTGTAGCCATTTAACCAAAGCATTAAGGCACTGATTAAGAGCCTCTACAGCATCACCAAGCTATTTGATTAAAGAAATACAGAGCTGGGTATGATCAGCATATTGATGACAATCAACTGCCAAACTACAATGGATTTGGCCTAAGGGAGATTGTATGACATGAGGAATAGTTGAGCCTTTTAGTCCCACATTGTTGACAACTGGTCTGCAGTAGCAACCTGCAGACCTGCCCATAAGGAATGCTTTAAACCAATCTAAAGTGCATCTCTTAATCCCTAGTTCTACCTCCAAATGTCTCAACAAGATGGCATGGTCCACAGTATCAAAGTTCAATTCCAAAAGTAAATCCAGAAAGAGCAACACAGAGGGGAACCTCTTCTCTGCATTCAAATAACAGATCACTGACAAAGGCCACCACCGTCTTGATCCCATAGCCCACCCTGAAGCCAAACTGACCTGACCTCTAAATTATCAGCACATAACAGAACATATCAATTATTCTTCAAATCAAGCCAACACCATGCATATCTTGGGATAGAACTAATTTGGATCCTTTTGTTCTTTTCAGTGAGGGTAAACAACTAGGGATGGGCACAAACCTGCCCACGATCCTAAATTCTCAACTAAAACCACCTGTGTCATGATTCGCAAGTCAAGGTCCGTGCGATTTTGCCCTAATGAGACTTCTATGACCCTCCACTTGGTTTCTGGAGGTTTGTGCAACTCGTGGTGGTGCATGTTGGCAGCATCCACAGCAGGGGAGGATGGACTTCTGCAGCCCTGGAAACACCGATAGTGGCCCTCCAAAGCTCGACAGGCAGCGCTGGCCACCAATAAGAAAGCTCCTATTTTGCATTATGGGAGTAGAATGATATGTACCTCTGCCCCAGCTCACATGCAGCCTTTGTTCTCTATTGGCAGCAAGTGTGCTGCGTGGCAGTTAAAAGCAGAGAGGGAAGGGAACTGGAAGTCATTCCTGTGAACAGTGCGGTTGGGGGTGTTTGGTGCTTAGGGCTGTGAGGCATTGTCCTTCTGCTCATGCCGAGCAGAGAGGCTTTAACTTCATTGGTTCCTTGGCTGAGGACCCCTCCCCTCAATTGTGACTACTAGCTCTGGCTGGCTGGGATTGGAGTGGACTCAGGGCTCTGAGCCACCTGTCTCTCTGCTCACACTGGGCAGAGGGGCTTAGCTGCTGGTTGCCTTGCCAGAACCCCCTCCCCAATACTTATTTCTGAACAAACACCTCTCCCCGGCTGTGGTTGTGTCAGGTGGATGCAGGGCTCTGAGCCACCTTCTGCTCATACTAAGCAGAGGGGCTTAATTACTGGGCTCCTTGGCTGAAGACCCACACCCTCCCTCATTGGGATATGTGAACACCTCTCCCTGGCTGTGGTGGTGTCTGGTGCACTCAGGGCTCTGAGCCACCCATTTGTCTGCTCATGCTGAGCAGAGGGGCTTAGCAACTGAGCTCTAGCTTTTGCCTTGGTGTGCCCCCCCCCCTTTATATTAGATATGAGACAAATATGTAACAGAGCTGTAGTTGTACAAAGGGGATAGCAACTGGGAAAAGACACGCATTAAAAAGGTGCTGATCAGTTAGTTAGCATTGGCAACAAATGCTCCAGAGTGGCCAATATACTATATACAATATTGTGCTCTTGAGTGTTCAAATACTTGAACTCACAAATTGTCTCAACAATCCTTAAAACTCTATAGGTAGGTCAGTATCATCCCCCTATTCAGCCAGATCCAACAAAATGCGAGAGTGCAGATTCCCCTACTTACCCACCCCCACATTCAAATCAACACTTCATACGAATTTCAGTGTTTTCAATGTAGGCTCTCATTTTGTATGCTTTCTGAGGTTTTGATTTTACAAGTTTTATGAACAACCCTATATGCACCCTCAAAAGGTCTACTTAGTACTAGATAGATAGATGCTGATTTTATTAATTGTTCTCAATTGTTTCTGTTCTCAAGTCATTTTAAAAGATTTTTATTTTCCTCTATTCATGAAAATGAATGACAAACTACAGATGAAGCTGCCTTATTCAGATTCAGACCATGGCCTGTGAACCTTATTCAGATTCAGTCCATTGGCCTGTCAATGTCATTGTTGTGTGCTGACTGGAAACAACTCTTTAGAATGTTTCACATCACTAACTGGAGATGTGCATGCAAAGACCCAGGTTCAAAGCCCCACAACTACCATGGAATGTCTCTAGGTGGCCTTAGGCCAGTCACATTTTTTCAGCCTAAACTACTTTAAAGGCTTGTTATTCTGAAAATGGAGGTGGAAGAACAACATTCTAAGCTACTTCAGGCCTCCATGGAAACAAAAGCTGGATATAAATAAATATCAATAAAAATACTTAAACCCTATGGAGAAACTGGTTACCATTATATTTGCATGCAAACACTTTTTACATTTGGAAGAGATCTGTTGGAGTAAAAGAAATTCCTTACATCTGCAACTGCATAAAAACACTGCAGCATAAAATGTAGTATACATATTAGCAACAGGAATTTTAAAAATATTCCCATATTCAGACAAGTTCCAAAGCAGCAAATTTAGCATGCCTAATTTTTATTTGTGTATGTACATAAATGTGTATTTAAAAGTTTTAAAAAACCCTCACCTTTGAAGCTGCCTTTTTTGGCTTGGTTTCAACTTTGGCAGGAGCAGGTTTCTGGTGGGAAAAAACATTCACTTACTAAGTTTTCCTTCCAAATAACTAGTACAATAAAAACTGAAAACAAGAAAAAAGGTCCCTACTTACAGCTGACAATCGTGCTGATCGCCTCTTAGGCTAGAGCAAAAAGAAAGATTATGAATTTACCTTGGTACATATCTGGCTTAGAAAACATTAATCGAATATGCTTATGCGCAAGATCACAATGTATAAACATCTATAGCAAAGGAATATTTTCTACAAAGTATTTATTTAGAGATGGCAACCATTCATCTCATATTTATCAACACAAAGCCTAAAAAGTATAAGATCAGATGTTCTGTCAATGTGCATCAATTTTTAAGGAAATGTAATTATAAAGCTATTAACTTTTTCTCCCTTCACATTGTACATATATACATCACATTATTTTCTAACGAAAAGAATATTTGTTAAAAATGGACCAGTCCCTCCAAATCTTCATTACACCACCAATTCTACTCACCTCTTCTTCAGCAGCGTTAACCTGAAACGGAACACATACTCAGTTAAGAAAGCACCAACTCCGCATGCGCACTACCCGACAGGAGGCTTCATAGAGAGCCGTGGCGTCATCGCGCTCACGCCCCCCCCCCTTCCCGCCGCTATGTTCAGATTTCGAACCTGAAACTGTCCCCACCGTCTTAAGCGACGTCAACAGAAAGTTCCAGCCTTTAGAACCCTGCGCGCGGCTCAGAGCTGGGCCTTCGCAGAGCCTCTCGTGAGGGAAGCACGAGACTGGCAGGACAGAATTCTGAGGGACAGCGATGTCGCGGCCATTTCCAACCGTCACTCCTTCCCTCCTCCTCTCCCCAATTTATTATATTAGCGCCAAACTGTGGGACACAGAGTGTGTGTGCGCGGGGGTGGGGGTAGAAATATCGTCTATAAAAACAACATCAAAATAAAGTGGGTGGGAGGAAGGTGATTTTTAAGGGAGAAGCGCGCCATAGTCGCGCGTTAAAGGTACGCGTGCGCCCGTCGCCAACCTTTCTTTTCGGCATGGCGGAGCAAGTGGCAATGCCGGACGGCGACCGTCAAGCTTTCCTTGTTTTTCCCCCCTTAGCGGCACGCAGCGGAACTGGAGCGCTTGTTCTCGCAGCACGAGCAGCAGTGAGTGGTACTTCTCGCGTCTGTCGCCTACTAGATGCTCGATTCTCACTACTGCGCACAGACTAGAGCCCGCCCGCTTGCCACCCCCCTCACCTCCTCCTTCCCGCAACCATCCCAGCAGCGCCAGCGGCACCACAACAGGATCCAGCCGGATTGAGAGGAGGGGGCGCGCGCGCGCATTCCGTGCGGCAGCCGTTTTACTCCCCCCCCTCCCCCGCCTATGACATGCGCGTGTTGCTATTGGACAGGAAGCTTTCGCGGAACTTCTTTTAAATCACAACAGCTCGTCCCATTTATCCATAAAGAATACACCAGCCTCCACCATGCCCTTCCCCTATTGAGGAGGTCTTCCATACTTGCCTGGGCGGAGCTAAAGGCATACTCACTTTCTTTCCCCTTCCTCCCTCTTTTCCTGCGCACACTTTCCCCCTCCCCTCGCAGAACACAAAAATGACTTTGGTCTGCAATAGAACAAAGTGCACACTTCTGATGAGCACACAAACGCTTATACCCAATAGCAAACTTTGTTGGTCTTAAAGGTACCACTGGACTCACACTTCGCACGGTAGACACTGTGGCGTGCGCGCATGCGGTCATAATATCAGGAGTACTGCTATGGGAACAAAGGGGTAGTCGTGGTTGCCAGCATGTGCGCTTGCGCGGAGTGCGCCCAAGTTGGTCTATTGTTCAGTCAGAAGCCCGGCTCTGGTTACTGTGGGTGAGCTGGCGGCTGTCTCGTTCTCCCTGCTTTTATTTCTTCGACCTGGGAAATGAGCGAGCAGCGAGTGGAGGCGGAAACCGCAACGGATGCCGCCGCCGCCGCTTGGCTGCTTGTGCTGAGCTCGGTGTTCCTGTGCAACCTACTCAAAATCCTTTTGCCTTCCTGTTCCTCTGTAGTAAGTGGTGCCACCTCCGCCGGTTTTTCTATAACAGTGATTGTCCATTTCGGTTTGTTTTGTGTTTCAGGAGAGCAGAGGATTCCTTCCACACCAGCGGCCTCTGTCGGCGTGGGTGGAGCAGTAGCTAAGGCTGCGGTGGCCCCCTTATGACGCTCTCATTTTATCGTAGGTTGAGAGAGTTAATGTCCCTCCCTGTGGTGTTCCGTGGAGAGTTTCATTTCTGTACGGATTTACAATGATTTTTGTACTGGGATTTTAGTTCTCAAAGTGGCCCTTTCAATTATTGAACGCATGCGGTGTGGACTGTTGATAAGGGGCCCAGGGAGGCGAGGGTTACTGGAGAGGGAAACACATTATCCGTGTCTCTGTTCCAATGCTAGAAGTCTCTGAGCCAAGATGGGGGAGCTGGAGTGCTTGGTGTTTAATGACAGTTTAGATATAGTAGGTATCTCAGCAACATGGTGGAACAGGGAAAATCTATTGCATACTGTCATTCCAGGCAATAAGCTCTATAAGCAGGACAGGGAGGGAAGGGTTGTTGGTCTTGGTGTTGCCTTGTGCATCAAAGAATGCATAGGATCAAATAAGTTAGAAAACATCAGGGGAATTAACTCACTGAAAGGAGCAATATGGGTGAAAATACTGGACCCTAAGGGTTACTTAAAACTGGGGGTGTAGTATTGCCTACCTGATCAAACCCTAGAGGCTGATCTTGAGATAGAGAAGGAAATAAGGGAGGTGACTAAAGCAGATGTTATTATACTGGGAGACTTCAGCTACCCTCGCACTGACTGGGTAAAGTGTGCTCGAATCATGCTGTAGAAATGAGATTCCTAGACATCATAAATGATTGTGTACTAGAGCAATTGGTCATGGAGCCAACCAGAGGGGTAGTGATCTTGGACCTGGTTCTGAAGACCTGGTGAGAGATGTAGAGGTAGGGAACAGTGACCATAATGCTATTAAATTCAGCATTTAGGTCAATGGAAGTTAGCACTAAAGTCCAAAACGGTAACATTTCATTACAAAAATAAGGGGAATAGTAAAAGGGAAGCTGAAGGGGAAACACAAGAAAGTAAAATCCTTAGAGGATGCTTGGAAGCTATTCAAAACCACACTAATTGAAGCCCAAATAGAATGCCGTTCATAGGTTAAGGAAAGGCACTGCCAAGTCTAAAAGAAGGCCTGTGTGGTTTATAAAGCAAGTCAAGGAAGCTGTAAAAAGGTAAAGAGGCATCTTTTAGAAAGTAGAAGGTCTGCCCCAATGAATTGAACAGAAAAGACCACAGACTCTGGAAAAAGAAATAACTAGGCATGCAATAAGAGATTTGGAGGAGCAGGTTGTTAAAGACCAAGAAGTTCAATGACTTTTTACTTCTGTGTTCAGTGTGGAAACAGGCCTGTAGCCTGGATTTTGTGGCTTGTGGGGAAAAAAAAAAAAATTCTGATGGGCCTGCCATTATTTGCCATTATTTTCCTGTCTGTCTCTAAACAACTGTACCCATGCCACAGATCCTATTTTCAGGAAGGGAGTCTGAAGAACGAAGCCAAATTGAGGTGACCAGAGATGAAATTCTAGACTTACAGGGGAAATTAAAAACGGAAAAGTTCAGGTCCTTATGCCATACACCCGAGAATTCTTAAGGAACTCAGATATGAGATCGTTGATCTACTAACCTGTATATATAACCTATCATTAAATTCAGCCACTGTGCCACCAGAAGACTGTACAGTAACAAATGTGACACCAGTTTTTAAAAAGGGATCCAGAGGGAAACAAGGAAATTACAGGCCAGTCAGCCTATTGTCTATCCCAGACAAACTGTAATCAAAGAGAATTGTTAGGCACATAGAGGGATAAAGCCTGCTGAGGGGAAATCAGCATGGCATCTGGAAAGGGAAGTCCTGCCTGACGGACTTTTGGAGTTCTTTGAGAAAATGCATAAGCATGTAGACTACAGTGACCCAGTAGACATTATATACCCAGACTTTCAAAAGGCTTTTGACAAGATACCTCACCAAAGTCTCCTGAATAAACTTAGCAGTCATGGGCTAAGAGGACAGGTTCTCTTATGTATTAAAAACCGGTTAAATGACAGGAAGCAAAGAGCAGGAATCAATGGACAGTTCTCACAATGGAGGGAAGTATGCAGTGGGGACACACAAGGAACGGTACTGGAGTTGGCACTATTTCATTTATTCATCACTGATCTGGAACTAGGGACGAGTAGCGTAGTGGCCAAGATTGCAGATGACACCAAATGATTCAGGATGGTGAAAACCAAGGCTGACTGTGAAGAGCTCCAGGAGGACTTCCACCAACTGGGGGAGTGGGCGACAATGTGGCAAATGAAGTTCAGTGTTAGTAAATGTAAGGTGATGCACACTGGGACAAAACATCCCAACTTCAAGTATAGGCTAACGGGGTCTGAACTTGCTGAGACTGGGGGTGGGGTGGGGGGCTCTTGGGGTTGTAGTGGATAGCTCAGTGAAAGTGTCAATCCAGTGTGCTACAGTAGTGAAAAAGGCAAACTCTATGTTAGGGATAATTAGGAAAGGGATTGAGAATAAATTGGGTGATATTGTAATGTCCCTGTATAGGACTATGGTGCGGCCTCATTTGGAATACTGTGTATAGTTCTGGTCACCGGATTTCAAAAAGGACATTGCAGAGCTGGAAAAAGTTCAGAGGAGGGCAACCAAGATGATTAGGGAGTTGGAGCACCTTCCCTGTGAGGCATGGCTGAAGAATCTGGGACTTTTTCAGTTTAGAAAAGTGATGACTAAAGGGGGACATGATAGAGGTTTATAAAGTTATGCATGGGGTGGAGAGAGTTGACAAAAAACAAAAATTCTTCCTCTCCCAAAATACTATACCTCGAGAGCATCCAATGACTGGCAGTAGATGCCAGTCGGACAAAAGGAAATACTACTTTACACAGAGACTGATTAAAATGTGGAATTTGCTGCCAGAGGATGTAGTGATGGCCACAGGAATAAACAGCTTTAAAAGGGAATTAAATAGATTCGTGGAGGATAAGCCTATCGATGGCTACTAGCCATGGTGAATGAGGGGAACCTCCATATTCAGAGGCACTAAACCTCTGAATCTGAGAGCCAGGAGGCAACATCAGGGGAAGGCCTCAGCCTCTGTGCTCTGCTGTTGGCTGTCCAGGGGAACTGGTTGGCCACTGTGAGACAGAATGCTGGACTAGATGGACCATTGGTCTGATCCAGCAGGGCTCTTCTTATGTTCTTAATAAACCAAAATGCTTTATAATAAGACAAGCAAATTCAACTATGTAAGTGAAGTCTTTTCATCTCAAAATGGCTTACAGTAGCTTTACAAATTCAACATCAACTGTATCTTGCTATTCCCAATTGTTACTCTTGGTTGCTGTGGGAAATGTTCTAGCTTCTCTCAGGCCAAGAGGTTCTGATATCCAAGGAAAGAGGAGCCCAGGTGCTGCTCTGCCTCTGTTCACAGTTGTTTGGAAGGTAGGCTCTCCAGCCTCTTTTGCTACCTGAGAGGCTCTGATTAAATCCAAGTAGAAAACAAAAACTGATTGTGCTAGCAGGCTTTTCATAGAAGAGAGGGTGAAATGGTGGTGGGAAAACTTGGCTTTATGTGTATTATACACACAACCATGTTCTTAGGTTGCTAGATTGTGAATTCTTCACCTATAGTTTCAAGAGCTCCAGGAACAGCAAGATTGTACTTAGCAAACAGGAGCCTGTTCATGTATTTTAAGTCTGTGAGTTGGGATCTTCAGTTGATCATATCTAAAGCTAAAGAAATCTTGAGAAAGTAGGTGGTTTTATAGATCCTTGGCATCAAGCTTGAGAATAGAACTCAGTTTTTCATTGATGATGTGTATAGGGGCAAGAGACATGTCTGGCCATTCTTGCCCCACCAAGATACACGGGGAAGGGGCTAGTGAGAAGTTGGTCCTGCTGGCTAATACTGAACTGCTTCATGTGTTAAAACCTTTCTTGAAAGCATGTTTTATGATATGTGCATTTATATGATTGCTACTTTGTATAAAATTAAGTTCCAGTAATTTCTTATTTTTAAATCAAGTATATGTACTTCATTTTAAATGAGCAAAAATATACACAACTGTTTCAGGCATCTTTCTTTCTTTGTTAGATATCAAAGTTGCTACAGAAGGATGTTGAGCAGGAATCACAGATGAGGTCTGACATTCAGAACATGAAGCAAGAACTTGCTACTATTAGTATGATGGATGAATTTGCCAGATATGCCAGATTAGAAAGGAAGATTAACAAAATGACTGACAAGCTTAAAACTCACGGTAGATATCTGCTCATTTCATGTTCACATTTTTGTTCATTGTCTGTCAGCCCTATTGGTAGACGTTTTCACTTCCTTTATATTAATTTTTTCTAACACTGCCTTTGTTATGATGCTCACAATACAAAATATGATTCCTTCAAAATACCTCAGGCCTATCACAAGCTGGTAATGTCACTCTGTGGACAGTGTAGGATTGTATAATCAATACAATACATGTTTCTATATATTAACTTGTCAGAAAAACAGACACACAGACTTATCCAGCAGGCTAGTTTTCATTTTTTCCTTTGGCTCATAGGCTTTTATTAGAGAATACCATAGAATTCTTTCAAAAGCTGAGGGATATACTGGTAGAACAGTGGAAATCCAATAATCATGTGGACCCAATAACAATGTGAGATTTTACTTGTTTATTTTAATTTCTTTATTAGACTTTTAGCTTGCCTTCCCCTGCACAGCAAGGCTCAGGGCGGGTAACAAGAAGTTTAAAACAATATCATAAATTGTTTGTTAAAAATGAATTAACATGTTAACAAGTCAAAATTAAAAACAGATGGTGACTTAGGCACGAATAACAGAAATTATCCAAGTCAGGTTGTGCAGCCTGTGTGTCAGTGGAGATTGGTACAGTGACAGAATGGATGGCAGGGAGGGGACCTAAAGGTAAAGGTTTCCCTTGCTTGACAGCTAGTCGAATCCAACTCTTTTGGGTGGTGCTCATCTCTATTTCCCAGCCAAAGAGCCAAAGACTTCTCCGTGGTCATGTGCCAGCATGACTAAACACCAAGGCACACAGAACGCTGTTACCTTCCCAGCAAAGCAGTACCTATTTATCTACTTGCAATTTCTTGCTTTTGAACTGCTAGGTTGGCAGGAGCTGGGGCCAGAGACGGGAACTCACTCCATCATGTGGCACTAGGGTCTCAAACTGCTGAGCTACAGACCTTCTGGTCTGCATCTTCAGCGTCTTAACCGTTGAGCCACCGTGGCCCCAGGGAGACTGGGTGAGGCCAATTTAGATGGTAACTTCACTGCCTCAGCCGTATGCCTGGTGAAATATTTCCATTCTATCAGTTGAATTTATTTCCATGTTGTAATATTTTGGATTACAGTCAATGAGATTTATTTGTAATTAATTTGCTTTTGGATTGCTATGTGAAACAAATTACTCGAAAAAACATATATACATGTGTAAATACCCAAACCATATTTTTTTTATAAAATGCCAGTGACTTTGGAAGACTTGAACTTTAAACAGAATCCTTTTCTTAGAAAGCGAAATTGTATTTTTGTCAATTAGAAATAAAAGTAAATCTCCTATTTGTAGAAATTATATAAAGAACATGTGTTTCTTTTAACAGTGAAAACACGAACAGCTCAACTTGCCAAAATTAAATGGGTAATAAATATCGTCTTCTACATTTTGCAAGTAAGTAAAACTAGGTTCTCCTGAAGTGTATGTTATTTAAAAATACTATATATTATGGTAGTATTCATAGTATAAATTAGAAGTAAATTGATGTACAATAATAGATAATTCTATTTGTATTTATATTTAAATTTTATATTAATAGGGATACTCAGAAAACCACCATAGTAAAGGCTGGTAGGTTTAAAAATGGAAAATATAGATTGGATCTGATTTTTAAAACTTACTTGTCCCCTCATTTTAGTATGTAGTCTCCCCCCCCCCCTTCATGTAGTAATTTTGTAGTTTTTTAGAAATGCAGCATTCTCTGGCTCTGCTTAGTTACAAATTGCTTAAGAAAAGACTTATTACTCTTAACAATTATTTTCAGACATGAGGAGTATCATCAGTCATCGCTTCAGTTGTCGTAATTCGCTTATCAGGCTAGACAGATAGAAATTCCATAGCTAATTAACAAGGATATAGACCTTGACAGAATTCGGCATCTCCCTATACGCTCCCCCCCCCCCCAAAGATATAATGTTGTGGAGCCAAGGTTCCCTCAGTCTATACAGTCACACAGATTTATCCTCTTCCTTCTCTGTTAAATCTTCTTTCGCTATCAGTTTCAATATAACAGGCTCTGTCCAATTAATACCGCTTTCTTCAGGATTTTCATTCGCTTTCTTGCTTATCTTAGATCATAGAGGTCCTTCCTTTTGTTGCTTCCAGCACACGCTAGTTGGAGAATCCGACCGTTCACTTTGTAGGCAGATTTTATGAAGTAAGGGTGGCCAAACTCTTTGCTCCGAAATTGCTTTTTAGTCTGCCTGCAACCATCCAAGATAAACTAACTTTTGAGTCTCCATACAGTCTTAATTTCCTCTGTGATCAAAGATTCGTTCCTTCTTGGTATAGATACTGTCCCTTTAAAAATACAGCCACCTTTAGAGCTGGTTCCATCCAGTACACCGCTTTAGCCAGCAGAGGGCTCTGATCTCTTCCTTCCTGAAGGAAGCTTGGGTCCCGCCTTCCTCAAAGTCTCCGATCGCCATCTTGGGGGGATGTTTACATTTACAGTTACCGAACAAAGTTGCCAAAAGTCTCAAAGGTCTATAAACGCTTATTTTTGAAAAAGTTCTCGGCTCTAGTCTTTCTGTTATAATCCATGCCACTGCATGCTCAGTCTCCCCCGTTTCATTAGATCGTTTAGTGAGTAGGGCGTCCCCTCCCCCTCCCACTTGTATTGGGGGGCTTCGCATCAGGGCTTTGATGTCTCGCTTCAACTTTAACTCACTCATCAGTCTTTGGGACGATCCAGCAGGTCTCCCTGGGATCTCGCTGGGCAGCGTTAAATTGCCAAACCTCCATATGCTTGTTCCAGCGTGCGCTTTGAGTCCAATACTGGGAATCAGGGCAGGACCTTCGGGGCAGAGAGTAGCCCCCCTGTATCGGCTGTCGGCCGAAGGAAGGGCTCTCCAGAAGCCCCCTGGCTAAGAGCCCATTTTGCAAGGGCTCCATGGGGAGCACAAGAAATTGCGCCCCCTCTTATCCTCTGATTCATGGCACACGTCTCTCAGAGCTGTGAGAAGACTTGGCCATCTTTAAAGCGCCAAAGCCCGGAAGTCATGTCATGTATTTTTGTATGGAGTAGCATTTGGTAACTTGAGGTTCAGCATACAGTCTGAAGTGGGACAGCCCAGTTATCTACAGTGAAAACAATGCTACTCTAGTTCTGCCTCTTGGCCTGGCAACCAATCAGATGCAGATGTAACCCATGCCATACATTTTGGGGAGGTCAGCACCAGGGTGGATTTGTTTTAAATAAATTGATTTAAATTACAATTTAAACTAGTCTGTAAGACTATATAAAGGGTAATTCTTGCTGGTAGTTATAACCTTAATATGTACAACCCAGATGAAGGTTTCATTTTTGGAATAACTTTTCAGGTTAGTTTTACAGTTGTAGCAGAAAATTAATGATTGGGTGGTTAGTTACCATTTGAAATAGTTCACCACACAGTGTTTTCTTAATTATCTATCTTCATCTTCTTGTTCATAATCTGTAAAAGAAAAACAAACTTTCCTGCTTTATTAAGTCCCAAATGATTTCTCAATTTAGAATGAATGACTCCAAAGGAAGAGAATATTCTTTCTACACCAGCAGAAGAAGCTACTGTTGATAAAAGTGAAATCATTACTTCAACCATCTCTAAATCCAAGTACTCACGTGACTTCCACCAGTTCCCTGGTGTGACTTTCTTTAAAACATCATATATTTCTTGAATGGTTCCCTTTAGCTCTGAAGTTTATTATAGTTGGTATTATGGATGGGTGATTGCTGGATACCCATGTCATAGCTAACTTCTCTTCTTCAATACTCAAAGTTTGGCCATGGTACTGTATATTGACAATATTTGCAAAAAATGAGCTGCAGATAGTGCTTGTCCTATTGGTTCTTATTTATTTGTTATATTTATATCCCGCCTTTCCAGACATCTGGCTCAAGGTGGCTTTATGCTTGTAATTTACAGTAACTCTCTCATTGCATTGTTCTGTTTTTAAGTGCTTGCTCAGTTCTTCCATATTTCAGCAGCACACCAATAACAGTTGTTTTTCTGTATTTAAAGCTTCAAAAATTGGTTTCGGGATGCTCATTATGTGTTCAACATTTCTCTTTAGCCCGATAGTGAGGATTTTGGCTGTGACAGTGCCATCTGTTTTCTCTTGATTTTGTTCACAAACTGTCTTCAGAATAGACCAGTTCTTGACATACAGCTCAGAACAGTCTGCTACAGAGGTCCTTCTAATACTTTGAGAGAAAGTTATCTTGGTTCCACCCATTCTTTTCAGAGTAACTGTTGCAAAATTATTGTTATGGAAGTATTTAGTAATTCAACAACATTAGCCTTTATTTTTGGAATACTGAAGTCTTTGGCTAGGAGGTACATAAAATGAGCACTGCAACCATCTGTTATTAGCTTGGTATTCTCTTCATTCTCTTCTAAGTTTCATCTCATCTTGAATACATTTGTAGCATTGTCTTTGTGACCAAGCTGCGTACTAGACAGTTGAATTTTTGTTCATATTTTATTATAACTTGCTGTTATTTCTTGTAAGTGTTCTTTTGTGTGTGCATTTCCTGAGATCAATTATTTCTGCAAGGAACACTTTTCAGAACATACAACAGGATCGTTAGAGACATTGCTCCACTCCTCAAGACTCTCGAGGCTTGTTATACACTTAGTTCCTTTCATTCACTTTATCCAGCAGTTTCCCTGCAACATCTGCTCTTCTGGTTTGAAAGTATTGTGGTCTTAATTACTGAATCATATTAGTGAAGTGTGGGTTTTCACTCAGACAGAAATAAGAGTTTTTCACATAAACAAGTTGGGCAATTTTTTCATCAGTAACCTCTTTTTCTATTCTGCCAGTTCTTATCACAAACTTATCTAGGTGGTTCCTGGATAGTGGATTTTTTTTTTCCTTTTAGATGATGATATACTATGGATATGTGATGCATATGATGTGACTGAAACGGGACAGATCCTAGACAGATAACTCTGGAGCTATAGAACAGGCGGATAGTGATCTTGAAGGTGGATAGTTTCTAGAATCATGTGTGTTGATTATGGATTCCCCTAAACAAAAAGTCATTGCTGTTATTTCATTATTTATACCATTTGCTTATTTAGTATTACTCATTGTATTCACTGCTACTTAGTACTGTCTGAAAAAGGAAGATTTGCGTGTTTCAACTATTTATTTCTTTATAACAGCTGTATTGAAAAGCACAGTACCATTAGGGTTGCCAAGTCGGGTGTTGCGCCGCAGCGGGGGATTCCTGGCTGGCGTCTGGAGCGTGCGTGCTGCACGCACGTCACCCGGAAGTGACGTGACAACGCCGGGCACGCTGGGGGTGCGGCCACGACCATCCGAGGTAAAACCATAGAGTTTTCCCTCGGGTGACCGTGGCCCATACCCAGCGTGGTCGTGTCACTTCTGAGTGACGCGCACGTCGGGGTGGGGCTCCCCCCAGGGCCCGATCCGCCGGTGGCAGGGAACGGGCCTCTGGGGCGGGGGTTTCCCCGCCCCCCGGGGGGACTTGGCAAGCCTAAGTACCATACAGTAACAAATATATTTTTGGTCAAAATTATAATTCCTCAAGACTGTCTTTAAGAAATATGATAAAATCAAAAAGTTCGCCAAGCTGAAGATCTTGTGTGTTCAGGCATGTTCCTTTTGTCGTCTTCATCACAACTTTCTCCTGTGAAGGAATATTTCTCATGATGTTGTTTCATTTGGGCCACCAGGCGTTGCATTTCTTTGTTGCATGGTTTGTATTTTGCATGCATGCATGCATGCCTTACCCATAAGTAGAGGAACTTTTTTAAATTATTCCCAAACTGGGTCTCTTTTTATGGCCTGATTTCATTATAGGTTTTTTCTTCAAGGGAGAGAATAGTACAATAAATCTCAGGCTACACTCACAAAGATCTCAAGACTTTTGGAGCATTCTGCTCCAAAAGTTTTTACTTTGATTTGTACTGTTTGCCCCTCCCTCCTCACACTTAGCTCTTAACAGCTTCTCCTTATCCGGATCTATTCCAACTGAAACAATCTTCTATTCATTGAACTTCTTGGAAACTTAGCACTTAAGAGGTAAGGGGTTGATTCTGTGTACATGGATTTGCAGAGAAACAATAGGATTGAGATCTCTTCCTCAACTCTATATGTGTATTTAAAAACATTTTTGCTATCAAGAAAATGCGTGCTATTTCTGCAGGCACAAATTCACAGTTTTGAGAACCACAAAACCAAGCATCTGTAATGGTGTCTTCTAGATAGAAAATTTATCCAAAATAATCTTACAAGAACCTCTGGGAGAGCATGACATTGGTGCCCTAATGAATGAACTAATGGAATTTACTTATCGTTTTTTAAAGCATTCTGTGAATATACAGTCTCATACTAAATAATTATTTCATGATAAAAAAAACCTTTGGGCGATAATGTATCTTACATAGAAAACTATTTTAATAGATTTTCCCTCAAAAAGCATCTTATTAAAATCTGATTTAAATTTTTTAAATTCAATTTTTATTTTTATTTTAAAAAACATTGATTTTTATCCACCCTGATCATCAGCAAGGACGCCATCTCCCCTGCTCTTGAAGTGGCTACTTGCAAGCCATGAACTACAGGTGGCCAAGGAAAGACTTTAGAAATGTGGTACTGGTGTTTGCTGTGTGAGAAGTCTTAACTTATGGGTCAAGGGGGTAGGGTTCTTATATCAATGATTTTAAGATCATAGAAGTTGTTTGCGATAAATTTTTGTACTGTGTTCTTTAAAGATAATGCAGACAATTAGAACCTAGCAGACCCCATGCAAACTAAAATATTGATGGTACAACTAAGTTAAAACAACAACTTATCAGTTTTCAGGTTTTGCAGTTAGTCATGTAAATCTTTTTCATTCTAGGCTGCTTTAATGATCTCACTAATTTGGAAGTATTATTCAGAACCAGTTACTGTGCTTCCAAGCAAATGGCTAGCCCCATTAGAACGTTTGGTAGCTTTTCCAACAGGAGTGGCAGGTAAGACCATACTACTTTTCAAGCTTTTTGAAATTTCAGTTATATTTCCTTGCTTACTAATATTACAGTGCTCCTGGTTTTCCCAGGATTCCCAAGCAGTTACCTGTCACAGTAATGTCCATCACTAGGGGTGTACACTGAACACACACACCCCTGGTATTTTTCGGGTTTGAGTATATTGACACACACACACCGCAAGATATTGGTATTTCCTGATATCCTCAAATCCCAATACTGGTATGGTATTGAGATTCAGGAAATTGGGATTGCCAGTTTCTTCATCTCCTTGGACACCTCCAGGTGGCAGTTCACATGCCGCTTGGAGAAGCTGTTTAAAGAAACAGATACCTTTGGGCACCTTCTCTAAGCTGTGAGCAAACTCACCACTTGGGGAGAGGGTTTAAAGGAACAGCAATTCTTTTGGGCACCTTCTCCAGGCAGTGAATGAACTTGCCGCTTGGGGAGGGTGTTTAAAAGGACCAATTTCTTTCGGGAATGACTAGCGAATTTGCCACTTGGGGAGGGTGCTTAAAGGGATCAATCGCTTTGGGCACCTTCTCCAAGTGGCGAGTTTTCTCCTGCAGTCCAGTTTAAACCATATGTACAAAGTTAACCAAAATATCATGAAAAAATTCTCAGAAAATGTCTGTTACACGCCATGAATTTAATACATTTTGCAATACATACAGTAAAAAAAACACATGATAGTGTCTAATTTACTGTCCTAAGTTATCCATCTCAAACTGATATCAAAGTGAATGAATATGTATCAAAGATGCTTGACAGTTCAAAGTTGCATTGACTCCATCTCGAAATAATATAACATAACAAAGTGTCCTTACATGTCCTCTGTAGTGAAAATTAAAGTTCATGACACGCCAAAGTTCTTCAGGTTATCTCCACATCGTTTAGCTATTCACTTAACGAGGAGTGTTATCAAACTAAAGACAATACAACAGCAGCTGGAACAGATCCAAAAACTTGATGGAAATTTGATAGTGATCATTTCAAAAAACCTCTTTATCAGGAGCTGATGATCCTCTTACTTGAGTGGTCCTACATAAACACAATAATTATTCTAACAAGATGCTCTGCAAGGTAAACGTGTGACATTGTATAAAAGATACATTATACTTACAATCAGCACTATTGCAGGAATATTAAGAACGGAATGCAGCTGCCTCCTTGTTTACAAAACAAACTGGTATAATTCAAGTTGGGCTCAGCATTTTTGGAGACGCTAAACATAGGTTCCAAGAACTAGAGCTCAGCAGGAGCAGGTGTACATGGCAATAGAACAGTTTTCTAAAGGGAGGAACTACCTCATTTTACAGAGACTATGCAAAGAGTAATTTTACTATATTAATATAGAGAATCCAAATCCAAATATATAGAAAATGCTGCATAATCAAAATTAACCACCTTTTGTCTGCTCAAAGTAAGGAATATATCACTCTGATGCTATTTACTTGAACCAGGATGGAGAAGTCATAGCTATAGGAGACGTCCTAGGTCATTACCCTGATTCAGACCATTGGGTTCTAATGTATTACATTTAAAAATAAAACCCGCTTCTTACTGCTGTAATAACCTTACTGTGTGTCTATTCTATTAAACAGATGTGTCTGCATTTTATATAGGTCGGCAACTCTCAGGTCCCCCAGTGTATGTGGCTTAGAGAGAAAATGGTTCACTAATAGAGCATCTGTCACTTTTTTATTCGTGACTTAGGATCCAAAGCCCATGTCTTTGTTGCCCTCATTGAACTTCCTATATACATTCATTTGCACGAACAGAAAATTGCATATATGATACTTTTTGAGTTTCAATCATAAAAACCTTTTAATTGAATTTTTTTGCCATTTGGGAGATATAGCTCTCCACATCAACCTGTGGGAAGCACAGGAATATATTCTATTAAATATCCAGTTTAAACCAGGCTTCAGGAGAAGCGAGCCCCAGGAGCTGCTGTGCTCCTGGGCTCACTTTCTCCTGCAGTCTGGTTAAACTGGGCTGCTGGAGAAGCAGGCCCCAGGGTGCTGCAAGTGAACTCACAAGGCATTTAAATGTATTTCCACTGCAACTATCTGGCCAACTGGAATAATCCCAAATATTTTTGGGTTTTTTTGGGTCGGCCTTTTTTTGTATAGCTGAGTAAATGGCCCATTAGCTGAACGGATGAAAGAAATATCCGGAAAATTCCAATATAGTATTTTTGGGGTAATTTTTTTGGTTCAGTTTAGCCAAATGCACACCTGTACTCACCACAATTCCCAGTGCTGCAAACTTCCGGTTACCCATGTTGTGATGACTGCCCTGGGACAAGGGGGTATGGGTTCTGTCTTTAATTGTCTTAGACATAGAATGAAGGCGGGCAATGGTAAACTTTAAACACATGATTCTCTCCTCAAAGCAATTCCACATGGGGACTTGGCACGAACAGGCCTGCCATTGTATAAGTCTTTATAGCAAAAAGCCTCCAGGGGTGCTGTGCGCTAGAGCCAGAAGCTTGTCCTCCTGCGCAGCTGTGCCCTCACCCTCAGTTCCTCTTTTGCTGCCGAAGGAGAAGGTCATGTTTTCTGGAAGTCTCCAGCTACAGTCTTGTCCATGAGGAATTGCTCCAGATTTGTTGGAGTGTCTTCTACTCTGAGTTCAGAGGTGGTTTGCCGTTGCCTGCCTCTGCACGGCAACCATGGTATTCCTTGTTGGTGTCCCATCCAAATACTACCCTGTTTAGTTTCCAAGATCTGACAAGATCGAGCTAGCCTGGGCTGTCCGGGTCAGGGCCTTCTCAGATTAGTAAGAGATAAATTGAGAGAACAGTTTCTTCTGTAAGCTTTTGTTCACGTCTAAGAATTTTGCTCTGGAGAAATTCCTACTGAACTGTGCTCATAATTACACAATTAACCATAGCACCAATCTGCATAGAAACTCCCTGTTGTACATGGATCTGTGCCGTAGTTTTCTGGTTCTTCAATTATCCCCCCTCCTAAACAATTGCAAAATTATGTAGAAAGACATCTCTTTAATTGTATTTTGTCATTTGATAAGTTTGATACCAAAACTGTCTTTACCTACATAACAAATGTGTGTATTTGGGTTATTGATTTACAGGATATTTTTCTTGTATTTTCAGGTGGTGTTGGCATTACATGTTGGTTGGTGGTTTGCAATAAAGTAGTGGCCATTATGCTTCACCCTTTCAGCTGAGAAAGAATTCTAATTTCAGTCCATTATCACAATTAAAAGTACTCTTCTATTTCCTTTGACTGTATTCTTATGACTCTTATTACAGACTTTGCACCAATTGGTTTTGATACAATATCCTGTGAAAGGAGAGGCAAGGCTTAGGGTAGAATAATAAATTATTTTATTGTAACTTTTAATATTTATATATTGTCTTATGTATAATATTCAAACTTACAGTATTTTAGACTTCAATTATTGTACTTAATGGTTTTTGTATTGTCATGTTTCTGATGAGCACTGGGTAGTGAACATGATACTTGTTAACTGATCTTGTTAAGGTTATATTAAAGGTAAACAACAAAGGGAAGAAATACTTTGCCATGTGTATTCGTTTGGGCTGGAAGAAGGTTGATTGAGAAAAGTAAAGCTTTGTGAAGAATGGCTTTTTAAAGTTTACAATGTGGTCTTCTGGTTTGAGTCTCTGTATATTTTTCTCTTATTGAACTGTAAACATTCTCTTCCTTTTACCCTTCAGTCTGTGAGGGCGGGTTGTTCTCTTACTTTCTCTTCTGTATGTCTGTTTCTTGGTTGGATCCAGCTAGCCCAGTCACACAATCTTGCCCAGTCCCCTTATTACATTTGCTGCCTCACATGGCTTTTTTCTGTGCAGGCCCCACGATCTCCAGCATAGCCTTTTTTTGATAGTGAAAGGAGACCGTAGCTCCTTGTGCCCCAATTTTTCTTTTAGAGATCCCTGAATAATAGCAAAAGCAGACAAACTGTGGACATGCCCCCTCTTCCTTTTTTCTTCTCTTGACCCCAAGACCATGTTCTGGTTTTGTTAAGTTTACTTATCCTGTGTATCAAAGAATTGTGCATTACCAAGTCATCTTATGAAAGTGTTTGCAGGATCATAAGGCTAGGCAGAAGCCAACATATAACAGCAGTAAATTGAATTTTTTTAAAGAGTATATGTTTTTTGTTTTGCATTTTTGTATGTGTGCCTGTGCCTGGAAGTCATGGCGACCTCTGGTGACTCCTACTGGGGCATGGAGGACATTCAGAGAAGTGGCTTGATAGCCTGCCTCTGCATCATGATTCTGGTATTCTTTGGAGGTCTCTCATCCAAATATCTGCCAGGATCGGTTCTGCTTAGCTTCTGAGATCGGGCTAGCCTGGGCTATTCAGGTCAGGGCCTATGTTTTTGTTATTAGTCTGAGTTTAAATCTTTGTAAACTTGGTTTTTCGCAAACTAATGCTGTGCTCTATAGACCATCTGGAGCACTGCACCTTAGGCTTAGAGGTATTATGTAACAAGACTGGCTACTACATTGAAATGGAAGACACATACTTGGGAGGTCTGACCCATTCTGGTAGAGATCTAAGAATCCTTGTAGACCATATGTTTAGATCAGTGATATTTTGAAGTTTTGATCTGAAGGACTCAGCTTGTTACAGTCAACGACCAGCACACTCAGTCTTTTTACATAAAAACATTTGAATAAGAAATATGGGCTAAAACCAACAATGGCATTCTTAAATTAAAAATCTGTGACTATAATATAGAAATAAAATAATATGGCCATAAAACTCATGTATAATTTAGATAAAAGATAAGAGCTTAATCTAATTATGTTCCTTGTAAACCTGGGCACAAAATCTAGCCACCTGTCTTGTTTCTGATGGTTCCTGTCAGACAGAAGGTAGTCAAGTTTAATTTTATTTGATCTGCCAGGAAACCTTTCTAAAAATGGACCAATAGTCTCCATGTGGATCGCCCTATGGTATACTCTGTTAAAGAATATATGTTCCAGAGAGTCTGTTTCATGGATGGGGCAGGAGCAGAACCTCAGTGAGTAAGGGGACCCTTTAAACGTCCCTTCCAATACTGCAGATGGCAAGGACATACTTCTGGCTAAAGTGAATGCCCTTCTAGAGTTATTGGATTCAAGAAAATGTAAATAGGCTGCAGGAGCAACTATATATCTGGTATTTGCTGGAGAGAAATAGCCAGAACAGAAGAGAATATCCATTTGTCTTTTGGTGTCAGTCACTCTGCTTAATGAGTGATTTTGCCTGGTCTATACTGTGAACTAGAAGGGCTTGGAGAGAGAAGCCTAGTTTCTGGATGGAATTCAAGACTGCTCAATGCCAGTTGGACTGGAATTGGTCCTGAAGGTTTAAAGCAGGGGTGGCCAAACTGCGGCTCAGGAGCCACGTGTGGCTCTTTCATACACATTGTGCTGCTCCCGGCAGAGCGACTGGGGAAACGAAGGGGAGACATGATTCCCCAATCAGTCTTCCCTTCCCCAGCCAGTGTTCCCCTCCCTGGGTAGGCTTGAGGTGGGGTTGGGGAGCAGAGAAAGAAAGCAACTTTAAATGTGTTCTCAAAGCCCCCCCCCCCAGCTGGCTTGGAGAAAGCATTTGTCTCTTTAAATCCCTTCGCCAAGCCAGCCAGTGTGGGGGCATGGTGCAGGGTTTGGCGGACACATTTAAAGTTAAAGTTGCTTTCTTTCCACCTCCCTTCTCTCCCCCCTCTATTTGCCTTCCTTCCTTCCTTCCTTCCTTCCTTCCTTCCTTCCTTCCTTCCTTCCCCCTCCCTCACTCCATCTGTTTGCTGTCTGTTTCTCTCTTTCCACCTCTTTCTTTCTTTCTACCCCTCTCTTTCTAAGACAAATAAATACCATTAGCAAACAAATATCATTGGACAAATAAATTTCATTATCAATATTTGTTTTTACCCCTTTTGTTTTTATTTTTGACAGTCTCATTTAATGTTAGTAAAAAGCAAATCTGCATATTTTCCAATAAAAACGTGTAATATTTGTTCATGTCTTGCGGCTCTCTCAAACACCTGACATTTATTCTATGTGGCTCTTACATTAAGCAAGTTTGGCCACCCCTGGTTTAAAGGGAACAAACCCCTGTGGTTTATACTTCCTGTTATCCATTTTAAAAAATGAGAGGATACGAATTCTAGCCTCTACTCAAAGCATTCCAAGTGTTTGGTACACACTTAGGTACTCGTAGTAATGCTCTAAGGAATTTAGACTGGGCTTTCTCAAGTGGGGTGAAGGAGGAGGATGGTGGCCCCAGCAATGTTCCATAAGTCAGCTGGACCAGTGACTTAGCTTTAAACAATCTAAGCGGCCAGTACATAGTGACCCTCGTGAGATCGATGAAGTTTCAAAATACTATTTGCTGTTTTCTCTCCTGCATCGGTGGCACAGCTACTCTGAATTATATTGATGCCAGGTCTGATGGATTAAAATGTTACAGTCATCAGTATCTGTGATGATGGTATCTGATGAAGGGAGCTTTGACTCTCAGAATTTATACTCTAGAAATCTTGTTGGTCTTTAAGGTGCTACTGGGCTTGAATTTTACTAAAATCTTGTAACTTGTTTAAACTACAGCAAAGGGTTACAAAAACAGGCATTCACCTGCCACCTTTCAGGCTTCACTTTTTCTCTGCCCCTCTCAATTTTAAAGCTACAAGAGTCAACCAGAGAAAACGTGCAACCAGCAATTGTGGCTAAGCAATTATGACTAAGAACATTGCTTCCCTTCCCTTCTTAAAGGGCCAGGATAGATTATATATGCAACAATCCTATTACTGTACTTTGAAAATGATTTGCCATTTGCCAGAGAAAAAAAGGTGAAATGTGAATGAGCTATAGTATAGCCATGTTAGTGAAGGCCAAGTAATGAACTGAGGGGAATGTTTGTTGCAGTGATGATCCAGCACTGTTATCTGTGCTTATAGCTGAAGTCTCAAAAAGTCCGCATTCCTTGCCTCATAGGGCAAACTAACTTTTAACTCATATCCTGTTTTCTTAAATTATAGCAGTCAGCAGTTCATGTTGCACTTGTAGCATACAATAGGTAAGTTAGAAGAATTCTTGCGGGGAGGGCAGGGTATAAGTGAAATAAAATAAATAAAATATGTTAAGAAGGAAGTTTAGGTTGCTTTTCTATTGGTTACAGTTTGGTTCAGTAATAAGTTGTCATTGTGTAATTGGTGTAAAGGTTCTGCAGGATCCTGATGTCAATTTGCCTACATATGCTTATGTTCTTATCTGCAAAGTTGTCAGCATCTTGAACTTTCTTAGGAATAGATGCTTTCCTTGACCATGATCAATCAATAAAGAAAAGAGTTTCTACTATAGTTCTTAGTGGTGATTTTGACCCCTTCTTTAAACCCAGCTAAAATTTGTAATTTCCCTGTCACTGAACAATAACAAGCTCAGTTTCAGAAGAGCAGTTACATTAGTTTGTTGCAACAAAAATAAACAGGAGGCTTATGACATTCCATAGTGGTATCTGCTCTTCTCCTTGCCAGCCCCACCCCCAAAAAGAACATGGATTCATGACTCAGCTGCCTGTGCCACTTTTAAAGGACTAAGGCTGGTACTCAGGATACTGCTGCAGTATTTTTTTTGTATTTCCAAAACAAATCAGCTAAGAATAGCTTGTGATGAACAAGAAATCAAGCTTTTAAAATCTTCCTCCAGTAATATATAAAATTTCCTTGAAAACATAGAACAATAAACAGTGAATTAACTTAAGATCCACACAGTAAGGATTCTGTTTCCTTATAACTGCAGCTGTAAAAGTAGAGGCATTCATATTGGCAATAGAGCATCCACATCCATCAGCTGCCACCCTCCCACTCCGAAGTCATTTAACAGAATCAGTAATTGCTATTACACTATGATCTATTGACATGATGATCTCCTTCCTCTGAATTTCTGGCTTTCAATTTTAAGACGTCAACAACTCTTTTGTTGCAGATATATAAGTGGAAAGGTGTATCTGCAACAAACAACTAGTTTTTAAAAATGAACTAGTAGATCACAGTACTAGATAAACATGCACCATCCCATCCACAGTGTACAAATGCACTCTGGCTTCAATCCTCCCAAAAAGATTATGTCAAGCCAAGTTTGCAAGAGGCCAGAGGAAACCCAAAATGTAAATAGTTTGGGGATGACATGTGGATGCTCCATAACCACTCCTATTTGAATGATGAACAAGAGCAAACCCTTTGTGTGGAAGCAACTTTGCCCTGATACAGTGCTTTCCAGGAGGAAAACAAGACGAGTTTCTTTTTCAAATTTTAAGCTGGCTATAGAAAAGATTTCTATCATAATTTATTAAGATTCCCTACATACATGTTTTAACTTTCTAAAATCAAAGTTCTGTCTGTTGGGCTAGGTTATGCTCATATATTGCTGATTGTTTTAAACCATCTCTCAGACTTCCCATCACTTAATTTATCTAGCTTCCTATGAAAGAAAAAAAAAACAAATGAAAACACTGGATAAATGTGATTTCTAAACACTGTCATGTATAAGG